ACAACCAACATCTTTTATCAAATTATTAATGTCTATTTAGCTCCAGAGATACGTTTTATTTGTTATTGCTTATATAAAATGCGTTCACGAATGTTTTTAAAGGTGTGTTTTTATGAATAAAACATAGTTTAGTTAACTTGATTGTACAATCAGCATGTCTTGTTCTATTATCAATTTATATAAAGACCGATAAGTGATATGTTTTCGGCATGATTTTATTACCTCGACAAATCCACATATTTGGCTCAAATGGCAACTATGTTTTATTCATTATAACCATATATTTAGCTCCTCTAGCCATTGAATATGCGGTTATAATCGATAAAGCATATCACTTTTGAGCTGAATATACATGCACTTTGTCAACTAAATAAATACATTTTATGTGGACGAATTGTATGTTATGAATGATACACAGTCATTTCGTTTCATTTTGTGGAACCAGGAAATATATTGAGTCACGAAAGGCACGTAATGGGCACGGGGTCGTGGGGGGGGTAGGACCAGCAATGAACAGGTGTTCTGTCATAAAATCCTACCTATCCAGACGTGCTATCCAACCTTTCTGCGCGTGTGCAGTTCCATCGTTTTGGGATTAGGGTTAGGTTTCAGGGATTAGGGTTAAGGTAAGGGTTTTATGGTGGGTTAGGTTTAGGGTAAGTGTTACGGTTAGGGCTATCGATTAGCACTACGGTAGTATTTTTCGACAAGGCAGCATATATCGACAGAACACCGGGAACGAAAATGATTCTAGAGACCCGTATAATTATGTTGAACTTGAATTAAAATGTAATAAAAATCTGATCATACTTCTACTGCCATATGTATTCATTAGTGCCACTATTTTTTATTACATTTTAAATATTTTTTAAATAAAGATTCATTCATTCTTATCTCCAGGACAGGATCGAGTTGGGTCACCCATCATCCTGCTGCAGTCAAAACAACTGAAAGAACCTCCACTTGTCTTAAATGACTTGACATGATTAAGTCATTGTTTAGCATTGTCCTCACCAAGAACCTCAAGTAATATTAGACCACCACAAAAGGGACATAAAGGGACAGCAGGGATGGTCCTTTTACAGCAGTTGAAGAATTATAACCCCCCCACACATACCCCAAAGCTGTTCTAGCCCTATTCTAAAAGGCACTGCAATAATTTAGTCCAATCTCTTGACTTCTGCTGCTGTATAGTTTGGTGATAGATCTGTTCAATCTAGAATGAAACTGCAACCATATTTCCACCTTGACCAGAACGTGTGAGCAGCCTGGATGCCAATCACTCACTGGGTAATTCAGATTCCTTCAGCTACCAGAAATAGCCACAAAGTTCCTCAGCAGATGGCACACAAGCTCCTCAACAAGCTGATTGAGCAGGATGATGTTGGGGGCTGTCTCAGCAAATTTGAGAGGGTATTGGGGAATATTTGGTCAAAATAGAAGTGGCATGAATTATTGCCCTCCCCCCCCCCACTGACGAGGCCCAGAGTGCCTACCATCCCCTCCCCTGGCCGGTGGTCAAGGGCTACAACAAACTCTGAGATCCTTCTATGTAAGAGGCCTTCTCCCATCAATGCAACCCATCAGTGCTAAGAATGGAGCCACGATCTCAGCAAGCTCTTGGTCAACTTGTCCAGCTCATCTAATGCTGGCCCCTGCTTGCTCACTGCCAGACGGGATGACCTTGTGGGTGACGGTGGAGCGATCCCTGAATGTACTCCCAAAGACCGAACGATAGGCTGTCGGCCACAGCAGCCTGATCACCTTGACCAAAATGTCCATAGCTGTAGCCCAGTGCTCCCAAACAGCCTACAGTGAATCAGCCCATCCTGTTGACCATGTGTTGGTGCGCCTTTCAACAGCCAGCGGCATCTGCTTATCCCAGTACATCCCCTCAGGTAAATGCTTTTTGACCATAGCTAAATTAACTCACCCCTCAAGCAGATTTTCCCCTCCATGCGCCATAGCTCTAATCAGAACTGTCCTGGACACTGATTGCTATTACTGCTGGATATATTGCATAACTTCCAGTGTGTGTATCCTTTTAATCCACATTGAATGGTGCATTTCACTGCGTATTCTAGAGATGAGGACAAGGCTACCTATACCGTGCCAGATTCAAGGCCAAGACTGTGATGGACAGACTTTGAGTCAAGACCTTTGGGGTGGAGAAGACCGAGTCTTTGGGGGAGTGAGTCAAGATCAAGACTTGAAAAAATCTATTCAATTTTCAAACCATCCTTTTAATTATACTTATGTACTATCATCATCACCCCTGCTAATAATTAGCAGTAAATTTTTATTTTCACATGACAATCTTTTAATCTCAAACATTATTAGATGAATTTTATTTTTATTAATTGCATTTTATTACTGTGTGCAGGAGGAGCCCTAGACGTGCCATTAACAGAATCAGAATTTGAAAAAGCAGTTAATTGCATGTTAAATCTATACTATTTACTATTTTCAGAATAACATAATAGTTCATCAATCCAATTCAGTATTAATCACAGCACATGTATGGTTGAAGTTGGAAATGTACATACACTTAGGGCAAAGTCATTAAATCTCATTCATTTTTAACCACTCCACAGATTTCATGTTAACCATAATGCTCATTAGGACGTCAACTTTGTGCATGACACAAGTCATTTTTCCAACAGTTGTTTACAGACAGATATTTCACTTTTAATTCACAATATCACAATTCAAGAGGATGAGAAGTTTACATACACTTTGGTCACATTCACAAGCTTACAATAAGTTGCTGGGATTTTGGCCCAGTCCTCACAGCTGCCTTTTAGGCCTCCTTGCTGGCACATGCTGTATCAGTTCTGCCTGCAGACTTGCTGTTGGACTGAGGTTGGGGCTTTGTGATGGCCACTGCGATACCTTGATTTTATTGTCCTTAAGCCGTTTTGCCACATCTTTTGAAAAATGCTTGAGGTCATCACCCAATCAGAAAACATATTTGCCACCGAGCTTTACCTTTCTGTCTGATATCTTCAGAAGCCGCCTCACCCACATCCACGTAATTACCCTTCCTCATGGTGCCACCTCTTTTGTGAAGTACACCAACCCCCCCTGCAGCAAAGCACCCCCACCACATAATGTTACACCTCCCCTCCCCCCCCCCCCCCCCCCCCCCCCGGACGATTCACGGTTGGGATGGTGCTCCTTGACTTATAAGCCTCATCATTATCCTCCAAACATAACGATGGTCATTATGGCCGAACAGTTCCATTTTTTGTACACATACATGGGCTTAGGTGTGGCAGTCCCTGTCAATGAAGTATAACTCACAGTATATCTCACAGTATAACTCACAGTATAACTCAACAGGGATTTTCTGTCTAGTGAACTGGGGAGTTTCTCAAGAGGCATAAGGTACTGTGCAAAAGTTTTAGACAGTCAAAAAAAATGTTTACAGTAATTTATCTGGGAAGTAAATGTACATTTGCTTGGAAAAAAACATACTGTAACTAGATGCATAGATTCTAGCATCTCAGAGGTACAGTTTGGACTGAGTGACGTGAGGGACACCATTTCTAAAGCTGACTCCAGCATTCCTGCCAAACATCATTCAAACGAGGGAGCAAATTGGTCTCCCCTTCTTCTCGGCATGCAATTTCTTCTTTTGAGTGTGTCTAAAAGCTCTCACTGTAGACCATCATGAGAGTACGGTAGTTCCAGCCCAGTCCAGCCCAGAACTTCAGGACAGCCTAAATATAACCCCAGGAGATTACCTCTAGCATGTTCTTCAGCCTTAGGATGTTCAAATATTGCTTTAAAATCGGTATGATATGCAGCCCGTTTGTTGATTTCTGAGCCTTGTTTATCGCCAATGGCAGTAGCCCATGTCAAAATATAGGACACCATCTGAGGAGGAATTCTCCCCCCTGATTGGTGAAAAATGAGGGAGTAGGCCTCCTGCAAAAGTAATCCCTGATAGCTGTCTGAGTGACAATCATAGCACTCTATGCTAACCATACAAACACCCAGTTCAGAGTGTGGGAGCAAGGTGGCGTGAGAGTTTGACACCAAGGAACTATGACTCAGCACTCCCAGGCAGTTACTCTGCAGCACAAAGTAGAGCTATGGATTCAGGGCCCATCCACACAACCAGGGATCTTTTTTCCCCAGAAACAGAGAAAAAATTCACAGCTCTCTGACAACTAATCTTTCTATAAACACATTAGTGCAGATGCTCATAAATGTAAAAAAATTGTTATGCCTACATCAGTGAACTCTGATTTGTACGTCGCTCGTGACTCTTTCCTGATGAACTCTCTTAGTTTCGATGTCTCTTTTCCTAATTGGTTATTCTTCACGGGAATGAAGAATGAATGCTTTGCCTTTGTTTTCACGGAAGTAAGCCGATTGTGAATATGGAGGATGTGTAGGACTTTCGCTACCTGCCATATGCCGTTTTGCTTACTTGTGTGCAGCTAAATCGTGTTTTGTGTACATTGTATGCTGTTTACAGCTATTGTGGAGCTTAGAATGAGACCGTACCTGAGCCAAGCTTTAGTGCAGCTCTAGCTTATGATACTGTAAAGACATCCAGCCACTGAACTTGAGAGCGCACTGAAACTGAGGGGAAGAGAGTGAGACGTGTAGTGACTAAATTTCTGGATCCTTATGTTGTTGCTGTGATGGTTCCTTTTATGTACAGCTGTGTTTTTGCGACGCTGCAGTACTGTGATATTTCACTTTTGCTAAATCAAATAAATAAAATATATGCATTTACCTTAAACACATGGTCGTGTGTGAGATCAACAGTCAAGCATTTGTGAAAACTGTCCCAAAGCGGTCCTCAGGGACCCACAGTCAGTTCATGTTTTTGCTCCCTCCGAGCTCCCTTCCAGGCAGTCCACATTTTTGCTCCCTCCCAGTTCCAAGTAGACTGTTTGTGGGTCTCTGTGGACCGGATTGGGAAACACTGCATTACTTTGTTCACATTATGGAAAGTACTGTAAACTTCGGCCCTGTGTGCTTTGAATTCTTGTCTTATTGGTAGAGAGTCCTGTCTGTGCTGAAACACCACTGGAAGGAGGTTTAGGGGCAATGGCTCCAATCATCACCCAGGGATGAACAATAGGCTTCACTGATTTATTTGAAATACTTAGTATATCTGAGATCATTCTTGTAAGCAATTTTTTCCATTTGATGTTTTACACTTGAGCAGGAGAAAAAGTGGTTCACATAAAATGTAATTTCTTTGGCTCTGACTTGTTCCGGGGGAAGCTGACACCTTCCCAGCTTTGGTCATGCTGGTCCAAAGGCCCAGTGGTGCAAGCCTCTTCCTCTGTGTCTCCTAGGACCAGTGCCTCTGGTTGCTGTGAAAAACCCATAAATTACCTGTTATATCCTCTGAATGGAAATATCTGATATTGCTACCAGAGCAAACATGGAATCTTCTGTTGCGTGCATTGTCAAATAAGACTAATAAACTGTGAGACTTGCAAAGCTGTGACATTTCAAATACAGCCCCCCTCCCCCCCATGCATGTCTTGTGCCAATATGTAGACCTAGATCCTTACCCTGCTCAATCTGTTTGAGAATGGAAAAAACTGGGAAAAATTGGTTTGTGGTAAAACCACATCTGATTAATGGTCTACTGGGAAGGAGGAGAAATACTTCACAGACATTTTTTTTTTTTTTGCATGGGATAAATGTGAGAAATCAGAAAGGCAGACTACATGCCTGAAATTGGCATTGAAGCTCTTGTGCATACATATAATGGTGTATTTAAGACCATATATATTGTAAGCGTGAACTGTAAACACCTTCTAGTGATTCCTGCACTTTTATTACTTGGAACAAGACTAAAATAGTATTGGCTTTGTTGATGCATGACGTGTTTTCCTTTTTGTTAATTAAAACCAGTAGGTAAGTTGACAAGATGGCTTGACAGTGAAGTCTTTTTGAAGTGACAGAAACCTCTTGATGGTGTTGACGTGAGGTCATGGAGACCACCCGTTCTGATTGTGCCGGTACCATGGGTGGTAACGTAAAGTGTTCTCCACACGATCTCCTTGCGGGGTGAAAGTCCTCAGAAAGCGGTGTGGTTATTTGCTCGTTACACAATGGCCACCATGTGCACACAAGATTCTCATGTTTTAGTGGTGAAGTAACTCTTGCACATGTTCGTGATTACGCTTTACCCATAAACGCGTGACAGAAGCAGCCGGTCGTATTTAACATGTCCACGGGAAAGGCATGTTTTCATGATGAGCGTCATGTAGGCCCAAAGCCATACTTTGAAGAGACCGAAGTTGGTCTTCAAGGGCTTATCTTTCACTTACCATGTGCATCACCTTGAACTTAGGAATGTACTCTAGTTTTGAGGATGTCGTGTTTAGCCCCTTCCATGGCCACCAATAGTACTGCACTTTTGCAACATCAACCAGTTCCTGTGTCCGGGTTTCCCTTTTGGTGGCTAGAAGACACAACATAGTTCATTAGCACTCTTTTGTTTTTCCATATTATGGAGATTGCCCTGACCTTTTGAAAGTATAGAGGATTCTCAACGCAAACAGGTACACAAAGTATGTTTAACAGAATGACATTGCAACATCAATGTGGTCTGTAAATAAGGACTCAAGGCTTTGGATGAGTAGGGTGATATTGTAAAAAAATGAGGTGATCTCATTGCGCCCCTACCAGCCGGGTGACTGGTCATGGGAACCACAGGAACGGGGAAGCTGGAGGGTTTTCTATATAGTTCAAAGTCCTGGTGACGCTTTGACCAGGGCCATTGGGTTCTCATCACCATGGACTTCAAGATGTTATCATTTAGTATGTTCTCTCTCCAAGGCTGCAAGAAGGAAAAAAAACTTTCATGTACAGTACCCCGACACTGAAGGGGAAGATTACACACAAGAGAAAGAATGAAATTATGGAACGTTTTTGGTTTCCTTTTATATAGTATAACGTGCACCATAACTTTCACAGCTCAGGTTCTGCGATTCAAAAAGCTATCGGACTCGACAGCACTGATCACCAACTGAAAATACTGCACTGCTTCAAGATGGCAAGCTGAAGCACATGAGTGATGTCATTAAAGTTCAAGAACTCAGATTCACGTAAACGGGAGGAATGTTTGATGTTCATATACGGCTGGTGTTCCTGGCTCCTGCTCACGGATTAAGTTACGGCCCTCCTCAGGAGCCACGGCTGATTCGTTTAACAGGCTCCTGGCTCGGGGCGCCCGAGTACACGGGGCAGTGGGAAAACAAAACACTTCGGTGTGATCGTGGGGTCCTCAATCACTCAGCATTAGCCTTGTCATGCAGCACAACACCAAACACCCTTTCCGATCCTGAACCGTTACGAAGTGGACCCTGGGAAGAAAAACACCAGTAAAACCCGATCCTTTTGCCTAAGGGCTCAGGAATGCCCATGAACACCGCACTACGTCTCTCGGAAGGCTGTGGGGGAACCTGACATACAAAGGTCCGCAGACCCACGTCCAGGACACTGACGTGACCTTGTTCAGTTCCTCCATCCGGGCCTCATCGGGATGCTGAGGGTGCTTATTGCACTCCATGCTGCTCCTGAATCCAAGGCAGATGAAGCCATCATAAGTCCGCCAAGCAGCTTTTGACCTCAGCTCAGACAACCTCCGTACTTCGTCGACATCCACGGGAACCGCTGTGGCAGACTGGTACTCCTGGCTGTATGTAAACCTCCGTCTAGGTTCCTGGAAAAATGATATTTGCAGCTCACAGTAGAAGGGACAGAATGTCCGTTGTAGGAACAGGTAATTGAATTAAAAATATAACAGAATCTCTCCACACCTTCGCCATTTCTTCATGCAATAATTTCCAGGCCTGTATGGTGGAATTTTCCTTCTGAATGCTGTAGTTGTGGGCGACCTTACCCACTGCCAGATGTGCTACTGTCACAGCAGGCTTTGGTGTCTGTAACCTTGGGTTGGCTTGAGACGCCGCTTCAATGTTGGCCTTACACAAGGAAATACCACAGCTGTTGATTCTGAATGTCATTCCTTTGTATGGACAGAACATGTGCAGTGTTATCTACGGCAGTATACCTGAAAGAAGTCCTTTGTCTCCATGCCATGCTGCTGGCTGATGAGCTGGGGCTTCCCCTCCAGGTACTCAGGCTTGTAGGCATCCCTTGCCTTGCATGTCTTCACTACGGTCGCTTGCACCAATTCTCGTGGCTCAGTCTGGTGCTTCACCTTCACCTGCTCCTCCCCCGTCCCAGAAACTGTTCCAAATCTCCTGCTCATGCTAAGGATCATCTCGGCTGAGGGAAACAGTTCATTGTGGACCACGTCTTTCATCCTCTTCATGTGTAGCAGATGGCTTAGTCTGCCGCAGTTTGAGGTGAGAGGTCAGCGAGACAAACCCAGTTCATGATCTTGTTTTTCTTCTCCTAAATCGCTCTACATAACTTACCATTTTATAGCCCCATGTTTACAGGTTTAGCATTTTACACACCAGGGTGGCTATATTAGTACAAATTCATGTTTTGTTTTACAAGCTACACTTTTATTAATGCCTTACATGACAGTCCTTAAACAAGTGACCTAAGGGCTTAGACACAATTGACGGCAGCACCACTCCTGGGATTTGAACCAATGACACATGCATTATGGTCTCGTAACTATAATCCCTGACTACTTAAACTGAAATGCTCACCGTGAGAGTGCCTGGAAACAAGCCAGAGGAACCATCTTTCTCACATATAGCAGCGGCTGTCTCATGATGGTCTCCAGGGACTCGTAGAGGTGAATGGGAGGTAGGCTTACATCCAGTGTCTCATACAGCCTGTTTGAGAAGCTCAGGTCTGAGTTGTAGAGAATCTCCACCTGTTCCTCCTCTGTCCCTGACAATCTACAATGCATCATATCAGTGAGAAGATATTCTTTGTATGATGATGAGTTCAGATGATTGAAGTGTAAAGGCCTGGATGTCTTACTTTACTGGAATAGTCTCCCAGAGTCTTCGGATGGCTTTATTCCTCAGTCCTTCAAGAACAAACAAGTGTGTTTCATGATCATGAAAGTAGAATCCCGTGATAATGTCCACGTTTCTATCGCTTGCATTCATTTTAGAGAAGGACAGGGATCTCTTGATTGTTTCTTCGGTGTATGAGTCCAGAAGCGCAGCAGAAGCATTGATTCTCAGGATCTCCGTGCGCAGCCTTTTTGGAGCAACACCACTGCGGCACCTGAAGAAGTAAATGATGCGGCCAAATGGACAATCCGGGGAAGGCTGGTCCTTCATCTTGGTCAGAGGATGTGCGATTTCAACTTTCACTTTCAGCTGAGATCCGGCAGCTAAGTAATGGCCTATCGGTGTTTCCGCTGCATACACCATCCGTGAATGACTGGGTGTTGGCTTTTGATATTTACTCACTTTATGTTCTGAAAGGTTTGCCGCAGGTGAGCTCTCGATCGGAGCCATGACCTTGAATCGCTTCTGGCCACGCAGCAGTTCGGACAGGTCTACCCTCACCACACCATACGGGTCACATCGAGCATTGCAGGTTGGGTGCCCGCTGCTCCGTAAGCCCACTTTGCTCAGCCTGGCATCATCTGACTCTGTGCCAAACATGGCAGGGGCACTAGTCGGCTTTACCGGCTTTCTGTCCCTGTCGTGGACCTCAATCTTCAGTGGAGGCCCCTGGAGGTATTCCCACAGCTCGCTTGGGTTCAGGAGGCCAGTTAGAATCATGTGTGCGTCCTGGAAGTGCATGTTCATGCCATGATCTTGCCCTTTGGTCCTGTGCTCACTCAAGTTGTGGAATTTATACTTACAATACACTGGTAAACATTTTTCCTGTGGTGGAAAATGACACAGAAAACAAGTGTTCGATTAAAAAAAAGACAAACTTAACTGTTATTTTCCATTCATCAATAAACTCTTCCTAAAAGACTTCTCTGATCAAGTAAAGTGGATTTTATTGTCATACCATCCAAATACAGGTTCCCCCAAGACCATGGTGCAACACGAAACAGCATTGATGGGAGAGGGTTTTCACAGTACTTAAAGTGGAAGATTCTGCAGATTAATACTATTCTCTATTAGCAAGCGGTACCCTGTGTACCTTAAAAGTGAGAGGCAAGGCCGGCAGGGACTTGGCAGATTGGACCGTGATGACCAGTGGGTTCAGCTCCATGCTGAGTTCATTTGACAGCAGTGGTTTATCTACAGAAATGTCGCAGAAACCTTCATCGATTCCAGGCAAGCAGGTCGCCAAGCAGCCAATTACTTGCTTCCTCCCTAATATCCAAGCCGGCGACAAAATTAAAAGCTGATTTAATGTAAATGGAGCAGTAACCACAAGAGTTACATGAATATTATAAACAACAACAATCGTAACTACACAGTGTTGTTTAATACATTTCACCCCTTTAAAATGTGTGCAGCAGTCAAACAGCATGTGATTTGTCTGGCTCCAGTTTACAAGAGGCCTGCCTGAATTTTTCACTGGTGATAGCTGTATTTGAGGTCACTGTAGCAATGAATGGGACACATCAAATGAATCGCGCTAGGCTTGCGCTGGTTCCTTCCTGTAGCCAATTAGAGGCCTTTCTCTAGGCAGCATCAAAGTACAGCAAGGAGTGGCGAGACTGAAGCTGCTACACCCTTTAAAGTAAACTGTCTAAAAAAAGATTTTTCAAGTGAAGCATGTTATAGGCGGGTTATTAAAGTCTCTAAAGTTCACCTCAAGTTGTTACTGTTTCCACAGAAGGGACTACACTGTACTGTTTTGGGTGGAACTGAGAACACTTTTAGAAAGAACAACTTTGAAATAAGAGTTTGAAAATCACAAGGTCAGCTGTTTAATATTTAAAGAACCCCGTTACTTATTGTATGTTGGAAAAGGTGAGCAGATCTGATGTTGATTGTAATGATCTATAATTCAAATTTGTATATGTAACAATTTCAGTGTGTCAGCAATACACCTACGAATAATCACCATGCTATTTAACACTGTATCACATTTACATTTATTTTTACTGAGCTAACGCTTTGGTCCAAAGTGAAGCAAATTGCACATTACAAACATACAGCTGTCATGGAGTTGACTAGGTGTGACATCTTCCAAACAAAGCAAGAACCTAATTAGACTGCTAATCGACAACCAGGAAGTGCAACATTAAGAACACCTAGGGAACTGAGTGGTGTCAAGCTAGTAGAGGAACTCCTGGAATGTCTGGATGCATTTCTTGAGTTGGAGAGGGAGAGATGTTTTTTAACATCAGTTATTTGATCACCAATATCAGCCATTTTTGTGCCAAATACTATTATGTTTTTGTAAATAAAATATAATAAGAAATGAAATATTGATGTACCTGCAAGCAGATAAACTGGATTAAGTTCCACAGCAGCGGTTCTACTCCTCCGCTGTCCAGCCAAGGCCGTGATCTTCTGGCCAGCTCTGCATGGCTGTTTCCTCTTATTCCCAACCAGGGATTCATCTGTCGCACAGGTAACCTTCAAAGAGTCTTGGAGGGCAAAGCAAGTTAACTCACTCACTACCTAACTCATAGGCCCTTATCACGAAAACACGGTACATAGAGAAAAGCAGAAGTATGTGACTTAAAGACTAATAAGACTTAAAACACTGCAGGTTCTTTGAGTTTGGGCCCAATCTTAATTAATGAAATAGTACTTGACTTGGATTTCTGGAAAATCCCTTATGCTTATACTTAAGTGTAATATCAAGTTGCATAAACACCAGCAGCTATTCCTTTAAAGGAAAGCATCTGAATATTAATTATTATAATTATAACGCACAAACATGATTCGGTTGCATAACTATTCAGGATGAGCACCACTTTCACTATCAATTTCAAATAATTAATCTTTGAGACCAAAAGAAAAACTTTTTTTAGTAATAGTCCTCTGTACACTGTTAATGCAGACTCCATCGAGTTTCTCACGTACTGATAGTGAACCTGCTGAGCTGTTTCCGGGCGTTCTGAGAGTTTGATTGTGTAGTCTGCAATCCACCAGGATCCTTTTCCCACTCCAGCTCCAGCTTTGGGCTCCTTAGGCCATTCACGGGGACTTCCTGACTCCTACCATATGTGAGACATCAGAGAGCTGGACAACATCTCAAGCCTGGGACACAAGCCCATGGCAAGAAACAGATTTCATGGCGTGTCCAGCAACCCATCCAATAGGTCACAACCCTAATATATTTTTTCTACTTACATTAAAAAGGTCCATCTGGATATAATTTGTTTGCAAACTGATACTCTGATGAATAATTAAGTCACAGATTTTTCTTGTTTCCTTGTTTTCTTTCTTTTTGACTTTGGTTCCTCATTGCTCATGATGCAAGTGCGCTAATACAAATTAGCATTTTCAGTCAAATTTCAGGAACACTTCAGCTAATCATAGCCATGAGAATCGTTTGGGGAAAATATGAAGTTAGTTCACAGGCATGGCATTTTTATGTGATTTTTTATTTATTTTTTTTTGGGGGGGGGGGGGGGGATGATGATTTTACTACCTGTCTATATGCCTGCTGGGACGGTAAAATGGTAAGCTGAGCACACCAGCATCTCTGCCTCAGACACAACACAGAAAATTCTCAATGCTATTTGCACTGATTTTCCTCCTTCTCTGACTTTACTCTGCATAATAATAGTTTGTGCTGCTTTCATGAATATATCTTTGCTAGTGCAGTGAAGTCCTTTTACGAGTGTGGTGACAATCCACACACAGCATTCACAGCAGATCAGTTTGCCATATTGTTGTTTGGATAATTTCTTGAATCAACAAGCATAATTTTGTTCTTTCTGCATGACAAACTCCCCCAAAAGGAATACAAAAATAGCTATAAAACAACTGAAAAGATCTATCTTCTCTGAAGAATAAATTAGCAAAAGGTGCTCCAGATGAAAATATATTTTCAGATCGACACAAACCTGAGGCACATTATGTAATCAAACTTGGTATAATTGCTGAACATCATAACATAAACCCTGTAAGGAATAAATGAACCATGGTCCAACAATCTGCTGCTATCCGACCAAAAGCAAATGCGGTTATTACACACCCCACTGTACCTGTTGCGAGTAACACATTCTCCCTTGGGGTCAGAATTGGAATCTCTCTTCTCTCTGGACATAACATCTATCATGGAGGTTTTCCTAAGGTAGGAGGAGTTTTTGTCTGTTTTCACAGCAGACTTAGGATTCTCCTTTTTGAAAACATTTCTCAGCTTCTTCACAATGTTCTTGATAGCATCTTTGAATAGTTTCACAAAAGAAGAAAATAGAGAGAGAGAAAAAAAACATTCCTGCAGTATTGCTGGGATTCATATGATCACAATTCGCTGTTTGAATAACAGAGACCTAGAGGTGAGAGATAAGATGCACTCTGCACACACAGACAGGAATCACGCTTACAGTCTTGGTGGTGTGAGGCCCCTGAGCCAAGTACAAAGATATAAAGACCGATTAGCAGATCTGGCTGCCTATCTCAAGAAGGGCACCTGGCATCAGAAATTCCACACAAGTAAGTCATCACCGACTCTTTCCCAAACCCCCAACACACAGAAAACATGCCTATGGTTGCTCAGTCAAAACACGTTTTTGTATAAGAATTACTTTTAATGGTGATTCTAGGATTTTTAAGTTGGGGGGCATAAGAGGGGGTATAATTCATATAGATGGGCCAACCTTATTAGCCAAAGATGTGTTTTAAATCGACCCTGCTTTGGGTCCATAGCCTCCAGACTCCACTGAGTAGCATAAGCAGTTACAGAAAAAAGGATGGATGGATGGATGGATGTTTTAAATCAGAAAGTGACAGGGAAACGATCACTCTGGGAGCCAATCAGCTTTTGGCTGATTTTTTGGTAAGATTACAACCACATGCAGTCTTTCACAAAGGACACTACTCAAGCCATCGAATCACAAAGGGTGGCATAGGAAACATGACCTGAAAACATACCAGTGTGTTCGGGATCCTCCCTGCAAAGTCCTTGCAGCAGTTTAAAGACACTTGGTCTGTCACACTTGGCCTTAGAAGACACCATGTCCTTGGTGTCCCACACACGGAAGGTGACTCTGTGAGAGGTCAGTTTAATCACCACGTCCCTCGTGACTCTGAGTTTTACAGACTGAGTCCAGGCTAGCCACATCCGGTCCCCCTCATTCCAAGGCTTTAACACCTAAAGGAAAGGAAATACAGTTTATTTTATATTGTTCTCCAGTGTACTCCATCCCATACTTACCATAACATCCCATACCTCACTATATCTGCCTGGCTGTGTAATATGCTAAAAAGACATCGGCATGACAGTATTATCAAGATATGCATTGTACAGGTCTTATAGATTATAAGTATCCAGAGCAACCTGGCACAAGAATTATATATCCATTGACTGGACTTAATAGGGTCAATTAAGCATTAAGTCATAAAATGAACATAAATATAAAGACATTCTCTTGAAAATATTTTTTTTCAATGATTTAATTTTTTCCTTAATTTTAGGCCAAGATGATAGTTTTACCTTTTGAGCTACAGCTCCATTAGAATAGTGTGAAACCCATTCCAGAATGTACTCTGAAGTTCTGCTACTTAACTGTATTTCTGTTGTAATCTATTGTCTCAACTCTAATACATGCATGCAGTGATAAAGGCCGTAGGGCAACTTCTCCTGGGCCGAATGTGTTCGAGTGTGTTGTATATTTAGAAATGTTTGAAACATGTAAATCTCTCTCTTCAGTGTTAAATCAAATAAGGGCACACAAATCCAGTCATTTATCTCGTCAGTCCAAAATGTCCAGAAGTGGCTACATCATTTGTAGATTCAACATCCAGTGCTTTTGGGTTGAGTTTAGCTCAGTGAACAGGATACTTAATGTTAATTAAAAACACCATGCTAAGAGATCAATTAGCGGATCAGCACCAAATTGAAAGTTAACTAGGTGAACAGTTTGAGTGTCATGTTTCATTGCTACCATAAGAAAATCAGAATGATTTTTGTTTGGAAAACATTCACAGGAATTTACAACAAATTCTGAATGGTGATGATGCTATATGTTCTACATAACTATGACGATCGACGTGTATGTAAACAAACAAATGACCATAGTAAACATTCTCCTTTCGCAGACGTAAATGTTAAGTTGAGTTTAACACTGTATACTCATCATGCACAATAGATGCTGGCACTTTCACCCCTGTGCAGTATTTGCTCCTTATTTACCTTAGTTTCATTTTCCAAGTAAATGTTTGCAGCAAACCCAAACATTACCAGGTCAACTCTCCTCGGCTCTGGATCGTTAGGAAATAAATTATATTCGATATGATAGTATCTCTGAGCTTCCGGAGTTTTTTCCCCCATTGCGCTGGAGGAATACTGCTTCGGGATTTTTTTACTAGTCTTTTCTCCATCAGCAATTACACTTTCATCATTCCCTTAAAGGGGGAAAAAAATATATACAAAACATATCATTTAAGGTTAGCTACTTATGTCCCCCAAGATAAAGAAAAATCTGCCATTCTATCATAGTCATTTTGAATAAAATGTTTTATCTCATAAATGTCGTTTCTCTTTATTTTGCAGTAAAATGAATGTCTTCAAAATCCTAGCAGAAACGTGAAAGCAACTGCAGTTTGTATCTGACTAAACCACCGTATTGAATTGCATAAACTGAAACAGCAACTTCTTTCACTGTGAAATAAAATACCTTTGGGTATAGCCAACGCAATTGTGACTGTAAATGTAATTTCATAGCACGGTTGACTTCTGGATTCAAAAGACTCAGTTGTGCTTGTTGAAACAATGTTGTGGTCAATTACAGTATCAAACAGGCATTTGTCTGACTTCTGAGTGTCCTGTTTATTATCCCTTTGTAAAACCAGCTCGTTTAATTTTTCATTTGTGGCAGGAGCAGAGTCAAGCTCCCCAGGAGATGGACACCCTACTACACAAACAGCAGGGTTTCTTGTAGGGACTGGGGACATCGCAGAATCGCTGAACTCCATTTGGTGCAGAATTCACAGGTCTTCCTTAATCACTAAATCACCATTGTTCAGAAGGTCCAAAAAGAAGCTCTCATCTGTAAAAAGTAAACACGGGTTAAATAAAACTACTTAGATTTTAAATGTAATTAGGTTGAATGCAATTAAAATTACAGGATTGCTTTTCTTAGTTTGGCAATCAGTTACACAAGTCTGTATCTATGTCATGGCTTCCAATATAAACTTTACCAAATTAAATATATATTTAATACAAAAGTGTGCCATTCATGACATAGTTTCCTGTCAGGACGGTTACAGTCAACCACGAGCTCGAGTAACAACTTCACAACAATATACAGTATTTATCATCCGTGCTGCTTTTGATTGCATAGTGATACAGAACTCAGCGAGTCATTCATATGGATATACAATGAAGCATTTTAAAGTATCTTACCAAATTCATGTCTATATTGCAAAAAAAAACCTTTACCGTGCTGCTTTCGGCTTAAACCAGCTGTAGAAAAGTTCTTCACTTTACTTCAGTTGCAAAATTTCCAAGGGCAACCAAATGACCGCTTAGCACCCGGACAACACACGCTGTAACCTCCGCCAAAGTAAATAGTTCCACTACTTTCATGATGACACACACTGGACATACAGTATATAGATAACTTATTTTTCTCACAAATGAAGTCACTTTAATGTATGTGTAACTGGCATATCATGCAAATATTTTGTGATAACCATTTTGATGTTGGCGGAACAATTTCAACTATTTAAAACTGAGCCAATGTAAACGTCACCTTGGTAACTCATAATTTTTTGTTTGTATTTTCAAAGAGATTTTTTGGCAATGCATAATAAGCGAGGTTCATGTTCTAGACTATAGTGTTTGTTTAACGTTCTTAAGTGAATATAGGCTAGACACCGTAACAAAAAACATAAGATCAAATTGGTATCTGTTTAATACCCTATATTACGAAACGATGCTATTAAAAACTATAAGTCACTAGAAGTAATCATTTACTTTTATTCTCCTTCTTGTGTTCCTATTTCGTATCCTAATCCTCTTGCCACAATGACAAAGTTTATCGGTGATCTCAGTAACCAGACTCAGCAGCCTGACCATGTCCACATTGTTAGACAATAGATCATATGAGGACTATATCATTCAGTAGTAATACGATATGTGATGTATAATCTGTACGTTATAGCTGTACATGTTGCTGGCAATATAATAGTTGAATTGTCAATATATGGCACCATCCATCTCAATAAATAATTTACTATTTTCAAAATGCCGACATTTATTTTGTGCTATAACGAATGTAGTGCAATCATTAAAATTGTGTGACATATAGTACATTTTCATTTATGAAAACTATTTAAATGCTATAAGTAAACTAATTGCAACTCTTTTGGAAAAAAGCAAACAAATATATAACAGGGTCAGAGTAAAATATATATATATGTGTGTTCTAATTTTTTCAAACCCACCTATTCAAAACCACCTCGAATTTCATCGATTTTCTTATGGAAATAAATGCCAGATGGAGAGTGAAAGCGACTTTTCAAAACAAAAGCAGGACATTAATCAGCATCGTGTCTGTATAGAGCCCAGGTTTTCTGGATTTAATTTATGGTGACATTTTTACGCCATGTTTAATGGCTATTTTAAAATTCTATCAAGTTTATATGGCTCTTTATCATGTAAATGAGAAACAATCTGCCTCAGTAAAGAGTAAGTTATTGCCATTACAGGCACGATAATGGAAAGTGTGGTTGTAGAATTTACCGAAATATGCAACAATAAACGGTGTTTGCAATTGTATAGAGACACAGTAATTAAGAACCGTCTTAACTCCCGTCCTTTAAAGTCAATGTAATCGGTTTGAGCACACGCGCGATATTAGAGAATAATGTAGTACTCGCTGGCAGATGTTTGCATACTTTAATGTGCTACACATAAAACAAGTAGCCTAACGCTGTTTTCTTTTTTTCTAAACATGATACTGTAGAGGTAAAAAGACGAAACTATAATGTGTTGCATTTTTACAATGAAAAAATAAATTACAAACGTAAGATAAGTTTAGGAATACCTAGGAGCATAAGAACCGGGGGGACACATTTAACTTGGACTCATTCAACCCCCATACGAAATATACCTTTGTTTTACAATTATTAAGTTGTAGAATAATACAAAGGCCAATATCTTAGTTGTTTAAAGTTAGAAGGCACTTCGATAATAACATTTACAGTATATTCAGAGCAAATCAATGGTAATGGAAAGCAGACCAGGACGAAGCCCAGCCTTTCGGACGTCATCGCACACATGTGGAGGTTTATTTTTGATTAGGCACTATACTTTTGGGGGGGGGGGCGACATATAAACTCCAGTTCACAGGAACGCCCCTGGTCACAAGCTCATTTCAAAGAAACTGAGGGAGTTTCCCGTATCCCACCGAGAGGATGCGCGCGTTATGGGCTGCAGATCACGGAGATCGAAACCGAACGGTGCTTTAAGCGTTTAGCTTGGACGCATCGCTGCTTTTTAGGTTTCTTAATGGAGCTTTTCTGAAGTGTAACAACTATGGATAAAACAGACGCATATGATCCGTACAGTCGACCTGCGCGCCGGACACAGTGGATCGTCAGTACCCTGGCTTATCACTATGGATTAGATCGAGGCGTTGAAAATGAAATTATAGTGCTGGCAACGGGCTTAGACCAGTATCTGCAGGAAATATTCCATCATATGGATAGCCAGGGCGACGGTAAGATCCCCGCCGAAGATTTTAAAATACTCTGCCAAGTTTTGGGGCTGAATAAGGATTGCGACCTGGAGGAGTGCGCTGGGATTTTGGAAAACATACCGCATGAGTTCACCTTCAGGCAGTTTCACGCCAAACTCTGCGGCTATTTCAGTACTAAAGCCGGGTGTCAATACGAAAGCGGGAGGTTGCTTGTGGGCAGGGAAAGTGAGCATATAGAGACTCAGATCCGTCTGCGGAGCCCGTTGCGGCGCAGGGGGAAGGCGCTGGCGGCCGGCGCAAAGGGCAGACTCAGCAGGGGTTCTTCGCCCACCCGCGATCGGCACTCATCCGACTGCAAGCAACTGGGATCGTGCACCCGGGAGTGCTATGAGGAGATCGTGGCATTGGAGGAGGCCGAGGACAGAATCGCAAAACTGGAGGATGAAAACGCGAGTCTCAGAGAGCTGGTGGAGGACATGAGGGCGGCGCTGCAGAGTAGCGACGCCCGGGCTTTGGCTCTGCAGGTGGGTGTTGCTCCGATCGGCATTGCCGGTTCTTCTAAAAGAGTGTTGTGCGTGTGATTTATTTATTTTTTGTCCCAATAGCAATAAAGTGCATGCATATATTGTCGCACTAAAAAGAACATTTACTTTTTGTTGATGGGGCGGTAAATGAAAGCTCTTAGATTGACATTCATTTAATTTTTGAAGATCTTGATTTTCTTGACTTGCATCTTCATCCCATCTCCTTTGTCACACACCTTGATATTTATTGTGAAGGTCTTTATAGAAATCCAGCCATGCTCATGATTTCATGACTGACGTTGATACCATCACATCTTGGTAGGTGGGACTTTGGAAGAGCCACACCAAACATTCTGCAGATGGAGGCTGCTTTATCAGCCACCAGAAGGTGACAGTGGCTCAGAAAGACAATGGTTTCAGCCTTCAGAACTTCTTTCGGGAGATTGAGCTGATTCGTAGCTCGAGGGACGAGCAGGTCAAGGAGGCCATGTTCTTCAACCAGAAACTAGAGAAAGAGCTACAACGATCGCAGGAGGCCTTGCTCTCCCTGGAGGACAGCAACAGAAAGCTGAAACGGGAGCAAGGGGAGATGAGGAAGAAGGTGGAGGATGCCAGGCAGGCAGTGCTGAACAGCCTCGGCAAAGTTAAGGAGCTGGAGGTCAAGGCCAATCGCGTGCCTTTGCTCCAACGTCGCATCCAGCAACTGGAGTCAGAGCTGCTGTACTTCAGGTAATTAGACGGCTGATCACCCGCACGGGCCGCCCTGATCACAGTTCAGGCAGAAGCCTTGGTTTGCTGGTAACATTGTGAACATAATTTCAAAGTGTTGCTTCTTGCTTCGCTTAGTATACGATTGAAGTTGAAAAGCGAGCACGATATTTAAACTCCAATTACAGAAGAAAATGACGCCACCAGACTCGTAAATTTAGGCAGGGTTCCTGGTATATCAAAAGGAATTAAAACATATAAAGTTTGAAAGTGTTCAGAAAGCCTTGACCGCATTTTTATGTGGTCTGCCTGACATTTTGGCTGATCTGAGCTTTGTTTTGGGTGAGGACGGGTTCTATTTCATGACATTTTCTGAGCTTTTCAAGTGAATTGGTGGGTGATATTTACAAATTTTGGCTGTATGGGATATGTTTAAAAACCTGAAACCTTTTTTTGCATGATCTGACCGTGTTTATCAAATGACAAATTTCATACAGGATGGTGCATCCATAGTAAATATACCTGTACTTTATATAAGGAAGAGTCATTATTTAAACTCCTTAGAGAAAACATATCATATTTTTGTAGCTATAAGATAATCTGCATATGACAAATACTCCAATGGTTAGATGTTAGTCCACATCTCAGGCTTTTATAGGACTTTTTTTGAGGCTTAGAATTTTAGGTGGATTGAGGTGCAGATTTGAAGAGTATAAAGATTAATTCCTTACTCTTTTGTGGTAGGGCTGTTTTTTTTCTTCTTTTTTTCTTTTCTTTTTTTTTTTTTTTTAAAGCCACAAGAACATGGGTAAGAAATTAGGAAAGGGTTAACTGCTCCGACGGAAGATGGTGTGTGCCAGATGGGATAGTTTGTTATTCATCTCTTTCGTTCACTCGTGCATGTGCAAACACAATGTGGATTTTGTAACAAAAACAAATATTTTAGCTCGTTATCGCAGTTCTAGCACTTAACAAAAATGAACAAAAATAGTTTTGAAAGACTCGAAAATCTGTTATTTGTCATCAGCGGAGTATTCATCCATCTAAAGGCAATTTGGAAACACAAATTGACCTGAACTAAACATGGTGGTACCGCGGGAGGAAACTGAGTGCCCGTAAAAAAAGGCCACACACGTTAGCACACAGCTAGGCTGAGAATCAGACCCCTGACCCTGTAGGTATGAAGCCACAGTGCTGCCCACTAATCCACACTAAGTAAAGTGTAACTTACTCTGCAGCCAGTGACAGCAGTCAAGCTGAGATTGCCTTTCACATTGAAATGCTTGAAAAGTTTTGGTTGGCTGTGAAGCAAACGAACGTGGAGCTGAACTGGTCCCGTGGTTTTCAAACAAGCCAACGCTCTGCTTTTCACAGTTAGAAACATTTTTTTTCCCTAAAATTTTCCTGCATTTTGAGGATTACGATTCCTGTTTCCAGTTAACAGTAAAGACTGTTGTCCATTTTACACTGGAAGTCTAGAGAATTTACAAATTCTTTTGATGTTAGAAATTCTGGATCTATAAGTATACCACCAGTGTATAACATTGTATTTATGCAGTTTTGCCTAAGGATTT